TGGCTCTGACCCCCTGCCCAGCATTCTTTCATTAGTGATAATATGATGGCAATGAGCTGTATGACAAGTTTGAAAACCTCTCTCTCTCTAACAGTGATTTCCAACTAAGTGTAGACTCAGGCTCCACAGTTTCCCTCACACATCAGTAGCTGAATTATCTGTTAGCAGCTCCTGTGTGCAGTGAAGCCACGGATGAACAGACCACTGTCAGCGGATCACTGTGATGCCGAGGAACACTTCAAAACATGAGGATCCTCAGGCAGGTTCTGCAGGTACAAGGACTGTCTGTTTTCACTGAGTGCTAAGCAGATTTATGGAGGTTTATTCGTGCTGGACATCAGAGAACGGCAGCAGGCCGATTCTTTTCTTAATGAGAACCATAGTTACACAGTTAAAGTTCAGTTTCTCCACAGTTCCATTAAAAGTGAAGTACACTTACTGCTTCCAAGTCCATTTTTAGTGTTGCAAGGATAAAAAATGACCTGAAGTCAAAGTGTTGAGGCAGGTGTGTGTCTGGGTGTGTGTGTTTTATTTATCCCTGTTAACGCAACATGTTAATTGAACGACCTCTGAGTCGGTCAAACCGTGACTGACAAGTCGGGGTCAAAGACAGAGAGCTGCTTTTCTCTCCATGAGATGCAGCTGTGACCTCAGCCCCCCCCCCACATACATGTGTGTGGAGGAACAGCTGCTGTTAAAAAGCAGAACACACAGTATAAATGTATGTAAGTGTGTGTGCGTTCACTCCAGCAGCGAGCGTGTGTGTCCCTGTCACTCTGCTGACAGTCAGTAATGAGGCCGTGTGGACTCACTCTGCCTCGCTCTAATTTGATTTTAATATTCTCCACCCCGTCTCGCACACGGTGCCCACAGCAGTACAATGGAGAGCATCACATGCTGTCAGATGTGTAACCACTTCGTTGTCAGTAACTGATTTAACTTCACATTTATTTTCCTCAGTTACAGCAACAACGCACGGAAAACTGAGCATCATGATGCAATATGCATTTTAAGGTGTTCCCCTTCAGGGAGGAGAGAATGGGAAGTCATACAAATACCCTGAACACCTGATCAGAGGTCTTGATTGTGTGCTTAAATAAATTTATAAGAAAGAAAACATGACTCAGCCTGTTCTGACTACTGCATCGCTGTGTGTACTTCACTTTTAATGGAACTTGAACTGTGTAACTATGGTTCTCATTAAGAAAAGAATCGGGCTGCTGCCGATCTCTGATGTCCAGCACGAATAA